TATATACAAACATATACAGTTTGGAGGTTAATTAATAGGAATTAAAATATTCTCAAACTTACGTGGATGGATGGTACTAAATTGTTTGAACTTGTTATATAAATCACTTGCAGTCTGAACTCAGGCTACTGGTCCTGAAAAGGACTCAGTAGGTTTGTCAGAGCCAATCACTCTGACGAAGGGCTAACGCTCGAAACGTCAGCTTTTTTACCCTTTACGGTGGCTAATTTACGTTTTCAACTCAGTTGTTAAACTAAATTACCTGCTATACTCTCCCAACGACGCAGCACCACAGTTTCTTTAGAAACTTACCCCTTTAATATATTATTAAGAAGATAAAAAGCTATTGAAATAAAGAAGTTTCATTTGCAATGCTTGTGTAATTTACCTACAGGCTTGCTGGTGCAAAATTAGGATGGGCAAACCAACAGGATACGAACATTACCTTTCGGCGTATCTGGAGACCCTGTATTTGTAGCTCTTGCAGTTGTTGTGACACTTGTCCGTTGTGGCGTAGTGATTTCTGGTGAGCCTGTGGGTAATAATTTATGCGAAATCAACTTTCATACCTGGCTGTGTGAAAGTTTCGGAAATACAATTAGTTAAGTAAAGAAGTTTAAAGGTTTTAAGAACAGTATGATAAAAAAATTTTTCCCGCCCCTACTGCGCAGCGGAGGCCTCAATTCTCGGTAGATCAGGCATGGAACACAATTGTCTAGATCAATCTTCCAGTAACTATATTAAGTGTTTGAACAATTCACAAAGGCAACAGAGCCTGACTATGTAGAATAACAGTTTTAATTGTATTTATGAAAAAAAAATAATCTGCAATTACCGATTTCTCATGATAATCCAGTGAGGCCTCCTCTTTTGGAAGATTTCAGGGACCCTTCCGATCAAGAAACTACAACTATGATCCCGACTGAACTAAACAATTCCCTTTCAACCATATCAGTTGTTGCCAGTTTTGAAGATACATTCATGTACCTCTTATACGCGGACCCCGTCATGTAACCCACAAATGAACTATAATCACGGTAACCTGAAAGACAATTTTGAGTTAGAACGAATATTCTCTGTGCTGCCTTGTACCATTTTACTTACGTCTGGACTTAACTTGAAGCTGAACCGAGTCGGTCAGCGGGGTATTCTGAAGTCCGTATTCCACCACTATTCCATACTTCTTGCCATCTTCAAGTTTTACATTGTAAAGTTCAAACACTGCAACAGAGGATGTCAAATTTCCTGCCCAACCCACGGAGGACTTATATGAAGACCTT